TTATCTCCTTGTCGCCTCCAAATGAGGTCATCAACTTTGACCTGATTGACAGGCTAGACTCCACCCCCTCACTTGTTGACAGGATTATGTAACTGCCACAGGATGAGATACTTAAACAGAAAATATGTGGCCAATTTTATTATAATAGAGAAACCAATAAAAAGATGTAGGTGGCTATATAGATTTAGGGGAAGGTGTGTGGCAGGGACAACTTAGGTAAGACCTTGTCTCATGGCTTTTACTTTTTCTGATAATTCAGTGAAGTCATGTGCTGAGATGAAGGAAGTCAGAAATCTGAGAATTAAGAGGATGTGATGCTGTCCTCTCTTGACATCTCTGGCCTCCTGCTCCACTTCCCGCAGGACAGTGGCCCAACCTAGAAAAGTATCACACAAGAATAGCGTGTCACTTAGCCAAGTCTTTATTTCAAAGAAAATTTTTTTGCTGAGGGAGGAAGGGGTCATTTTCTGCAGAGTGGAGACAATGCAGGGTGGGGCATTATCTAGAGCTCCTTTCTACTTTTAGAAATGTATGATAACTGAGCACAGGAACTTTCATGATGGTTGGGCGTGGGTAGGGGAACTTCTGATAAGTTTGGACTCCGTCCCTTTCCCTTATTTGGTCAGGTTGGAACTGCCATGCCTACCTCCTTGGTAATGATAAATGGTCATGGTACTAGTGGGTATGGTTTTTATATTATTAAAATGTGCGTCAAGCTTTCTCTGTCATTTTTTTCCCTACCACGCATGCTCAAGATGGGAAAGAATTCTCTTAATGGTCGAGTCTTTGATTTAGTAACTTTTCCTGTAGTTTATCAGCTCAATTCTTGACTACTCCCTTATTGATAGGATGTTTTCCAGGGGGATATTCCAGCTTCCCTGTTCTTTCCCTAATAGGGAGCAATATTGTTGCATGGTGATACAAAAGGCTAAAGAGAGAACATAGGAGGAGAGCTTAATGGTGCTGAGGTTGGTGATTAGAAATCTATAAAGATACCAATTGCCCATGTTAATGGGTTGTCTTTCCTATTGCTCTGCTGCCTGGGAACAGATATGATGGCCATGTTACCATAGACTCGTTGGAGTTGAGGTTTCACTTGGCAATTGGTATTCAAATAGAAGTAAAAGCTACCTCTCTGTCACAAACTAAAATACTATCCTGTGAAAAAACTAATGCAAATGAGTGGAACAGCTGCTATTGTGGGCAGTAGGGAGTGGCAGCATCCACAGTGAACAGAGAACGTGCATGCCACATTTGAACCATTGAGAGACCATGGAACGATGAATTATAATCAGAAGAGAGCTTGTGGGACACACCGTTGGCAAGAAAGAATTCGCAATGGCAATTCATTTTAGGGAATTATTGGTCAAGAAGCAAGCTGAAATTAAATCACTTAAGGCAATAAAAAGCGATTTTGAAGCTTGAGATACAAAATTGAGCAAAGGAGTTTTTTGACAAAATGTTTTCATTCTTGACTTAAGGTAATGTGAATATTACAAAGTAGACTTTCAGGAGTCACTGCTGGGAGATCATGATACGTGTTCTCTTTAAATTATATTTGAAATGGGATGTCTTCTGTACCCTCACACAAATGGTGCAGTGGGAAAACAGGAATCCAAAGCTGCCTCTCCTGGTAGGATCTCTGGAGGGTCTAAGTAAGCTTGGTGCCAGAAAAGAGGTACTTCCCTTTACTGTGGGAAACAGAAGGATTTCTCTCAAGCTGTCTCCCCCAAATATATGCCAGACATAGCTGCTTGAGAATGACTATACACTTGGAGGTCATCAGGAGTAGATTAGGGGTCATTCTCCCTAAGAGCAATCAGCCATCTAGAACCAAGTAGACACCACTGTTTATCCCACAAGTAGGGCCCACTCCCTTCTGATAAGGATAGTAGTTGTTTGATAAGGATAGTAGTTGTCTGTTTCCTTGTGGGAGACACCGGAGAGGTCAAACCCACCCAAGGATGAACAAGGTTAGGTTGCCATCATGAATCTAGGGTCTGCCCATCTTGTCACATGTATATCCCTAGACCTTCCCATTCCTATGGGCACACCCCTAGCTCATCCCCTTCCTGTTACACTTATGGCTATCATAGATCCCCTTCCTACAATGTGTATGCCTATTGTACAACCCCTTCCTGTGATGTATGTCTTCACCTGTAATTAGGGGGCTTGCACATCCCCAAAGAGGATAAAAGCTTAGAAAGCATTAAAGTTTCTCTCTCTCCCTCCACGTGGACCACCAAGCGGGACTGAGGTGAGCAATGCTACCATGAATTGTGTCTGACTCCATTGCTTGACTCTATCTTTTAACTCTCATGCTCTCTATGACTTTACTATAATCTCTACTTATTATCGCTGTACAATTGCGCCTACGGGACCTGTGATGCCTTGTGGGAAACCCCTCTCCCATTAATCCCACACTTTACATTGCACATTTCCATGGGCCTCAGAGCCCCCACAAGAGTAAGAGCTCTTAGAATTACGAGCGAAATGTTATCTGGTCCTGCATCCACCTCAAAATATCTGGCAAGTTCAAGTCCATTCTTATGGCTAGTGTGCCAATTCACCCTGTTAACCCTTTACTACACCACACAGGATGCCCTTCCAGTGATTTATCCTCCTGATGACTGTACAAAACAAGTGAGTAGAGCAAAGTTCTATTGTGATCCATAAGGTTTTTACTGGCAAAATTTTGGACACAGGTCACCAGGATTTTGTTTCTATTCCTATTCTGTCTTAATCTGGATGCGTCACTGAAATCTATCCATTACTGGTCACAAACTGGTACTTGATATACTGGTGGTTTATCTTCCAGCATCAGAGCAATGGGTAAGCCATCACAAGGTGACAAACTGATAGACGAGAGGCATTGCAGCAGTAGAAGCCTATTTAATTTTAAAGAACTAGTCAAAAACCAAAGCTAATGTCATCGAGTCAATGTGGATTCGTAGTTATCCTTTAATGGGTTTCGAAGACTGTAAATCTTTACAAGAGCAGGCAGGCTCCTCTTTCTCTCTGGAAACAGTCTGGTAGGTTTGACTTTGCTGTTCGCAGCTGATCACATACCCAAGAGAGTCAGGGGGGTTGCTAGTTTGTGTGTGTCTGTATTTAATTTGATAATTTGTTTTGGTTTTATAGCTTCTAAGAAACATACATATAGTTTTATTCAGTCTCATACATTATATGACAATGTAATAAAAATAATTTAAGTTTTGTGTTAGTCTGGGTTGATGAGAGAAACAAATCCATAGACACTCATATGTGTATAAGAAAGAGCTTTATATAAAGAGTAATTGTTTATTAAGAAAATATCCCAGCCCAGTCCAGATCAAGTTCATAAGTCCAATATTAGCCCATATGTCCAATAACAATCTATAAATTCCTCTTCAGACTCACACAACACATGTAATGATGCCAAATGCAGGAAGATCACAGGTCATTGGGTGGAACGTCTTGTGGATCCAGAGGCGGTGGAAGCATCTCAGCTCAGCACTGGCATGAATCTCTACACAGTTCCTCCAGTTCTAGGGTTCTGGCTTCATCAGGGTAGCTCCATGTGTCTTGTCAAGTGAACAGTTCACAGAGATACTGTGTGTGCCCTGCCTTCAGCAAACTATTTATCTCCATAGCACCTCCAAATGAGGTCATCAAACTGCGACCTGATCGACAGTCTAAACTCCACCCCTTCACTCTTTTTTCTCTCTCTCCCCCCTTCACTCTTAGTAGTCTCAATTTGACACCAGATTATATAACTAACAAAAGTTTGCACTCAAAATGCACTGCCATCTCATCCTGACCATATAGAACAGGATAAAATTGCTCCAGTGGGTTTAGGAGACTCGAATTCTTCAAGGGAGTATTTGTCCTATTTAAGGCTTAATAAATGTTTCTCTATAAGTTGTATTTGAATTTGGGGTGTCTCTTTTCTCAAAACTTATAAACATTGCAGATGCTCAAAGGGGTCAGAGATCTGAGTTCTAAGGTTCTGACTCAAAATTTCCAGGTTCTAATTTGGAGCCTGGCAGCACAGTGGTTACATGCTGGGCTGCTGATGCGAAGGTTGGTGGTTCTAATCCACCAGCTGCTGAGGGTGAAAGATATGGCAGTTGCTTCCATTAAAATTATAGCCTTGGAGGCTATGGGGCAGTTCTACTCTCTGCTATTGAGTCATTAATAATCAGGATCGCTTAACAGCAATGGATAACTTGGGTTGAGTCTTGAAAAGTATATTGGAGCAGACTAATAGTAATAAACATACATACAGAAATTCCCCAGAACCATGGCCTTCCTGTTGATTCTGCTTCATGATGATAGCACATATTAAGAGTGGCAAGGGAACTCCATAGAATCCCTTGGCTGTGGTGGGGATGCATGTCTTCAGGCCTTTCTTCTGCACCTGACAGGTGTGTTTAAATGATCAGCCACTTAATTACTAGTGAGCGCAAACTAATTGTGCCAACCTGGGACATGGAGCTCAAAAAGGATAGTACAAACAAATGCTCCAACTCTTTGCCCAAAGTAGCAGTTAAGTACTGAGAGTATTGAAACTTTAGGCCAGGGTTCCTTGATCTTCCTCTCACTGCCCTTTTAAGACAGAAATGGGAGCTTTTTGGTTGCAGCAGGAAGTCATAAATCCTATCTGCAATTTTTATTAAAACTTCTGACGTTTAAGCAGGCGATTATTGCTGCTTCAGCCTGCATCCAGTGAGAATTGTTGCAGGAGTTTTGAATGGAGTTTCCTTCTAAGAATATTTCATTCCTTAAAAAGAAAAGTTATAACCGGAAGTCAGAAAGCTGGAATAAAAGCAAAGAGGGCGAGTTTCCGGAAAACTAGTTATCCTTAAGCAAGCCTGAGAAGCAACTCGCGCACATGCGCAGAAGAGCCGCTTGGGCGGAATTTCCGTGGCGTCCGGTCGCACTCCGGGCGACGATTGGCGGCGCTCGGGTCGAGGGGCGGAACCGGAAGCACCTGTGTTGTTGTGAACCGCTGTTTCAGCTCCCGCGCTGGTGTCAGTTCCCCGTGCTGGTACTCCTGCTGAAGTTGTCATGGGGGAATCCGAGAAGTTCCATTACATCTACAGTTGTGACCTGGACATTAACGTGCAGCTCAAGATGTGAGACCCCGTGCCGGGGGGCGGGGATGCGGAGACCTGCGGGCTGCGGGCGAGCGGCGGGCTAGGGGGTCTTCTTGGAGGGCTGTGGCCCGGCAGGCGGGGAGAATGGAAGTGAGCAAAGGCCGGTGGTGTCTAGATGGGAAATGGCAGGAATAAGCCTGTATATTCTCAGTGTTTTCCAGCCTAGAAACAGTTTGCTGTTCAGAGCAGCCTTTTGAGAGGTTATTGCTGGTTCTTCTTTTAGAGATGAAGAAACCAAGTCTCGGTCAAGTCAGAGTGGGTAGAACTCTAGAATGGAGACTGCAGAGAGGTGCAGACGAGGTAGAGGTGCACGTGGGTGCAGCATTAGTAATTGGGAAGGTGATAGAGACTTATGCTGACTCTTTGGGCAGTCTGACGTTGTCCAACCAAGGTAATTGGGAGTGGACAGGATGCAGGAAGACCTTGGGATACTATGAGTGATCCCATTTCAACATGATCAAGGCCATGCTGGGATGAGACTAATGGGAATGAGATTGGGGCATGGGTAGGACCAAGTTGAAGTTGAATATTTTAAGGTAGTGTTGCATTGCTATTCTGTACTATCGAGTTGATTCTGGTACATAGCAATATGTGACTAAATAGAGTGTCCCTAGGGTTGTTTTTTTTCTTTCTAATCTTCATGGGAAAAAGATTGCCAGGTCTTTCTCCCGCAGAGCCACAGGGTGAGTTTGACCCTGCCAACCCTTAAATCTGGTGACGCTGCCATTAAGCATTGGATGCTAATGTCAAAGTTGATTTAAAATCCACCAGCTACCCTGAGGGAGAAAGGTGAGGCTTTGTGATCCTGGAAAGATTCACAGCCTTGGGGACTTTCAGTAGGGTTGTTGTGAGTTCGAATCGACCAGATGGCAGTGTTTGGTTTTAGTTTTTACCATTGCACTTCCAGGACTCCTTGGTGGTGTTATAGAAAAATATTTTTTTCATTTAATGTGTTAAAATATACATAACAAAAAACTGCCACCTTAACCATTTTTATATGTACAATTCAGTGTTATAGATTACAAGTGTTGTGCATCCAGTATCACTATTTCCAGAAGGTTTTAAAAAGTGTTTTCATCTGTCAAAACTACCACAAGTTATGAGCCATGACATCACTCATAATCAATAAGCATATTAAGGCATATGTTCTATATTTAAATTGATAGAGAAAGGGCTAAACTCTGTGGTATATAGTCCATGTTTTTTTCCCCCACCTACTATTTCCAAGTTGGTTCCAACTCATAGCAACAGTATGAGACAGAGTAGAACTGCTCTCCACAGTTCCCAGAGCAGTGCATATTTGCAGCAGCAGCAAGCTGCCTCATTTTTCTCTTCACTTACCAGCCCAATGCCCTGCGCCGCTAAGGATCCTTTATATTTTCTTTGCTCTTGAGATGCTTTTTCCGTTATCAGAAGCACATGGAATGACTTTTATTTTCACAAATGAGCGCTAATTTTTAAGATCTGATAAGTCCTTTACCATTACTTTTGAGGTGTTAGTAAAAATGTTCTGGCAACAACCAAACTGCACCATTGTATACTACCCTGTGCCGCCATATCAGGTATTTTGCTGCCACATACACCACTTGATGCTTCTACAGGGCTTGCATTACCATCATCTCGTAGAAGGCCTTCCCTCAGTCTCTTCTTTGCTTATGGGGTCTTCCATTGTGTATTGTAGCCCCATGCCATAGAGTGGATTTGGACTCGTAGTGATGCTGCAGGGCAGAGTGGAACTACCCAGTAGGACTTCCAAGGTGTAATCTTAACTGAAGCAGATTTCTACATCTTGCTCCTACAGAGCAGGTAGTGGGTTTGAACTACTGGCCTTTCAGTTAGCAGCTGGGTATTCTAAGTGCTGTGTCATCAGCGCTCCTTTGTGTTGTGCTATTAAAAAATAATAACCACTCCAAACTCACTGCCATGTCTACTCATAGTGACCTTATAGGGCAGGGTAGAATTGCCTCCGTGGGTTTCCGAGATTGTATGTTTATGGGGGTAGAAAGCCCCATCTTTTCTCCTGTATGGTCCTGTAGATTTTTTAAAAATGCTTAATGCCATGTGTTATTACAGTATCATAAAGAATAGTTTCACTACCAAATGCTCTATCCTGATTTTTATTCTCAGCTGTTACTTCTTTATCCTGTGACCTTAAATAATGGCTTTTTATATCTGAAAGGTAAGTAGGAAAGCGCATATCAAGTGCCTGGCATAACATTGATAGTTAAGAAATGTTTTTACTTTTTTTGGATGCTTTATAATTAATATATTACTTACATTTTAAAAAATGACTCCATAATATATATGCAGTAAAAGACAAAAGGAACAAAAAGAATATGCAGCTAGAATTAGCTTTTTCTCCCCAGAAGCCATAAGGCTTAGTGTTCCCTGATAACATGGCATTGCTTACTTGGTCTGTTGGCACACTCATCAAAGCGCTCAGCTGTTAACCAAGATGTCAGCAGTTCAAATCCACCAGCCACTTTATAGGAGAGAGCTGTCACAGTGCTTCTGTAGAAGATTTACAGTTTGAAACCCCCCTGGGCAGCCCTTTCTCTGGTAGGCTCACTATATATCGGAATGAACTCAGTAGTCGTGGGCTTGGTTTTTGGTTTGGGGACCAAGCACTGTAAGTTATTATTAAGAGAATAAATGACTATAAATACTCACCTTGAAATACATAAAATGACACTAATGACCAGAAAGCTAGCTGGTGACTTTTAGAATTTAGATCAAGAGTTGGTGGTAGGGTTAAAAGAAGAAACCAAATGTGAATCTGTTGAAAGAGATAGGAAATGGTCTTAGGTGTGTTAGGATTTTAAGAGGCCCTGAGTAAACATGAGGCAGCCCTGGTTGTGTAGTGGTTACGTGTTGGGCTGCTAATCGCAAGGTCAGCAGTTTGAAACCACCAGTTACTCCGTGGGAGGAAGATGAGGCTTTCTAGTCCTGTAAAGAGTTGCGGTCTTGGAAACCCAATTCTGCCCTGGCTTAGAGGGTCCCTATGGGTCAGCACAGACTCAATGGCAGTGAGTTTGATCTTTAGCTTTAATTAACATAAAAGTAGCTTTAGTTACACATGAAAAATTGTTATTTGGATACATTCTGTACTCTTTAATCTTCTGAATACTTTTTGTGCATGTACCTGTATACTTTTAACAATATGTCTAAAACATTGTTGCTCTTATGCTTTCAGAGGAAGCTTGGAAGGGAAGCGAGAACAAAAAAGCTACAAAGCTGTCCTCGAAGACCCGATGCTGAAGTTTTCAGGACTATACCAAGAGACGTGTTCCGACCTCTATGTTACTTGTCAGGTTTTCACAGAAGGAAAGCCTCTGGCCTTGCCAGTGAGAACATCCTACAAGGCCTTTAGTACACGATGGAAGTGAGTAATGTTCTTGTGGATGGTGGATTCTAGACCAGGCTTCCCCTGGTTTGTATTACAGTGAACCCTCGTTTATCGCGGCTAATCGGTTCTAGACCCTACCGTGATAAATTAAATCCCGCGAAGTAGGATTCCTTATTTGTAAATCAAATATTTTCGTAGTTAGAGCATAGAGGACATGAAAAAACACCCTTTAGTCACCATTACACTCGTATTACCCAATTTATTAAACGAAAAAGGGAAAATGCAGTAAAACATTTTGGAGGTTACAATTGTCATTTATTATTTATTATATTATGAAGTACAACGGATGGAGCGAACGGAAGACTCATTCAAGTCGAAATGGCGTGCAACCTCCACGATTTTCTTGCCATCTTTGATCATATCCAAAAGTTTTACCTTTTCCTGGATGGTGAGCATCTTCCTCTGGCGCTTATTTTTATTGTCAGAAGGCTTAGAAGAAGCAGTTCGTTTAGGAGCCATCATAGGGCTTAGATAAAATTTCTTAAAAATCGCAAACAATTACAGTACACTGTACAAAAGCAAAAATGCATCTGATACGTAGCTCCGATACGTAGCGATGCAGACAGAAGCGTGTACAGTATGAGCCAATCAGTGGCAGTAATGACAGAGCATGCGCTGTTACGCAAAAACCGCGATAGAGTGAAGCAGTGGAAGTCGAAGCGCGAAGTGGCGAGGGTTCACTGTGGTTCCCTAATTTAGTGCCTCTAAACTTTAAGTAGGCACCTCCGTGGCACAGAGGTTAAAAGTACTTAGCTGTTCCCTAGAAGATGAGCAGTTTAGACTCAGCAGCTCCTCTGGGAGAAAAATTGGCAGTCTGGTTCCGTCAAGACTACAGCCTTGAAAAACCCTGTGGGGGCGGGTCTGGAAGCACACGGAGCGTCGGCGTCAGCTGGACGGCTGTGGGTCTGGTTTTGTTATGCATTGAACAGGAGCCCTGGTGGCAGAGTGCTTAAGCAGTCAGAATTTCAAACGCATTTGTGGTTCTCTGAGAAAAGACCAGGCTATCTGTTCCTCGACAAACATCGGACAGCCTGGACATTCTGTGGGACAGTTGCACTCTGCATTGGGATCAACACAACAGTCTACAGCAAGAGTATACTCAGAATAACAGGATACCAGTAATTCAATTGAGATCAAGTTGTATTTATGTTTATATTCAGTATACTGGCAGTATACTGGCAGATTTGGTTTCTCAGCTGGCTGATTTACAAAATGGTCGACAACGTATCCATAGCGGCTTTAAATTCTCTGCCCTTCTGTGCCCATGAGTACATGAAATACTGTTAGATAGTGTGAGATGTTATCCACCCTGGTAATTGAAGCTCAGAAAAATTTTAAATCATTTTATTGGGAGCTCTTAGCTTATGATATTCTGTACATCAATTGTATGAATCATATTTATACACATGTTGCCATCTTCATTTTCTAGACATTTCTAAACATTTACTTCGTATTTGAGCCCTTGGTATCAGCTCCTCTTTTTTCCCTCCCTCCTCTCCCTCTCACCCTCATGACCCCTTGATAAATTATAAATTATGATTATTTTCATATCTTACACCAACTGCTGTCTCCCTTCACCCACATTTCTCTTGTCTGTCCTCCTGGGGGGTTGGGGTTATGGGTCGATCATTGCTGTCATTTCCCCCTTCCTCCCCTTCTCCCACCACCTTACCGCTACCCTCCTGGTATCGCTACTCCAATTTCTGTTTTTAGCTCATGAATAATTTCTTAAAAAAACAAAACAAAACTCTTGCTGAAGCCCAGTACAAAGGTGTGGACATGCTTTGATTTAAAGACGTGCTGGGGAGTCTGGTGTTGGATAGCAAACATTTGAGGTGATTAATTGGTTGGGCATGTGTTCTGTCTCCTAGTCATGAACTGATAGAATATGGAGGTAACATTTCACACTTGCTTTGGCCCTGGTTCTTGCTTTTTCCCTTTTCCCTTCATTGTTGTTGTGTGCCATGTTGATTTCTACTTATAGCGGCCCATGTCACAGGACCGAAGTGTCCTATAGGGTTTCCTAGACTGTCGTATAGAAGAGAGCAGATTCCAAGATCTCTGCTCTTGCGGGAACTTGGTAGGTTCAAGTCACCAAGCTTTCCATTCAGCGACCAAACAGCCATTTCACCTGTGTTAATTGACCTGCGAGTTCATTAGTGAAAGGTGACATGGTTTAATATTTTCCTTTTCAGCCTCAGCTACCATGTAGGCAGTTTTTAAATTCACTTGGTTACTTACCTGTAGTGGAAAATAGTTTTCACAGGAATGCGGTTTATTTTTTTTAACACAGTCAGAGAGAAAAAGAATTTGATGACACTGAATTCTTGACATTGATACTCACCTCCAGTTTTCCTTGAATTCATGTAATGGATATATATTCCATATTCTTTCATAGAGGTTTTAAAAATTCTGTTTTATTTCTTACTGATCCAGATGTATGTTCACCTAGACAAGTATTTGCCCCTTGGAGGATAATTTTGGGTAAATAGAATCTTTTTTCCTAATGATTCAATATGTCTGTTGAGTGTTAATTTTTATGTCATTTGCGTGTTATTCTTTTGGGATTATAAAAGCCATCTGCCTGTACTGTGAAGGATTTGCAATTATCAAGTGAATCCAGTGTCAAGTTTAAAAGCTGAAGGAAATATGCAGAGATGAGTAATTAATTGCCAGGAAATCTGTTCTGACTATCTGGGACCCTCAACATAACAGGAAGAAATACTACATGACCTTGCACCTTCTTCACTGTCTCTGAGCCCATTTTGACAGCTACAGTGTCAGTCTAGCTCATTGTGGGTCCTTGAGAGCCTCGTTCCTCCTGAGAACACATCAGCAGGTACTGAGGTGAAGTCTCACCATCCTTGCTTGTGAGAAGAATTTCGTCTGTACTTCTTCCAAGCCAGATACCTTTGTTCTTCTGGTAGTGGAGCATCGTCGTCGGAAGGCATCAGTTCTTCTCGGGTCTTCCTTAGTCGGTTTCTAACTCTCGCATGTATGTGAGACAGTTGAAAATACCATGGCTTGGCTGAGGCGCACCTTCGTCTTCCAAGGAACATCTTTGCCCTTGATGCTTTCAAGAGGTCTTTTGCAGAAGATTTTCCCAGTGTGATGTATATCCTTTGATTTCTTCCGTGCTGTTTCCATGGATGTTTCATGTATAGTGAAATCCTTGGAACTTCATCTCTTCTTTCTTTCGTGATGTTGCTTATTAGTCCAGATGTCAAGACTCGTTTTCCTCCTGATGAGCTGACATCCGTAGTAAAGGCTGTAGTTTTCATCTTTCCCAGTAAGTGCTTCAAGTCTTCCTTGCTTTCAGCAAGTGAGAAAATGGCCTGGGCCATCTCACCATGCAAAGGAGATGGAGAATCTGGAAGCTCTGATGATACCTGCCCACAGTGATCTTGCTGATATTAGAGATACTGGAGGCCCAGCTTCCAGCATCATGGTTGCCTGTAAGCCACCTCATTCAGTACAAGAACTTGAAAGAGTGGTGGCATTGATGTGCAGAAGGAGAATCATGCTTCATGTAGTGTTAATGCAATGAGTTGAAGAACTGGAAAATCTTGTGAAAAGGAAAAAAGGTCACATATATGCCTACAGTAGCAGTCTGGTGATGTCTTCATGTTGTGTTGGCTTTATTTTCATAGCTGGAATGAATGGTTAAAATTACCGGTGAAGTACCCCGACCTGCCCAGGAGCGCCCAGGTGGCTTTGACCATATGGGATGTCTATGGACCAGGAAAAGCCGTGCCTGTGGGAGGGACCACCGTGTCACTCTTTGGAAAATATGGGTAAGTGTTTACTCTTCTCATCAAGAAGAGTGTTTCTGCTTTCAGACTCTTTACATTTCAGAAGTGCTTTTAGTGCTCATGCCTAATACAGGGGCTGGCAAGTGAAAACAAGTTTGGCTCATATGATGGGGTTACTCCTGAGGCTAAATTTGATACTCCTAGAAAATCAAATCCTACTTCTCTTACACCAAATCCAAATTGAATATCGCTTCTCTTCTGACATCGCAGCACAGGCAGCACTTCCTCCTTTTGTCTCGGCCTCGGGGAGCTCGGCCAGTTGTCTGTCACAGTGAACAACGTACTTCTCTAGCCTTTCTTGCATATGAAATTGCCCAACCCCTCTGTACGATTGTGGCCTACAGACCTAGGGCCAAAAGAGAAATCCACTGCCCTGCAGAGATTCCTTCGTGATGTGTACTAATGAAATTTGCTGTTTTTCTTTTATGTGTCATAAATACTGTTTTTCCTGTGTGGCCTGTTCTTTTGAATTAGTATATATTTATTTGTTACTTGCTTTTTCTTGTGTGGAACTCAGTAGTTTTTGTATTTGTTTCATATGAGCTTAATGTTTTTGAAAATTCTTTCCCATTTAGGATTACTTTAAAAGAGATTTTCCCCTATTATGGTTTTAATCTTTTGCATTTAATTTTTTGGTATATAGAAAATATAATTTTATGAAGTTTTTTTTTTTTTAATCAAATGACTGGTGATTTATTTTAAGCTAAACCATCTTTTTATATGTTTTGAAACACCATCCTTCTATACTCAATTCATAAGGAACCCTAGTGGTGCAAAACTTAGGCACCTGGCCACTAACTGACCACTTGGGGGTTCAAGTCCTACCAGAATCCTCCAGCGGTCAGCTCTGGTAAAGAGTACAGCCTCGAACACCGTGTGGGCACGTCTGCTCTGTCCCACGATGTTGCTGTGAGTCAGAACCAGCTCATTGGCACCTAGGCATTCTATTCATAACCTGTATTTAGTCTAAGAGAGGTAGTAATATGTCGACAGGTTATGGAATAGTATTTTCTTGTTTTGAATCATGACTGCTTAATAGCTGTAGCTTTGGACAAGTTACTTAATCTCCTTTGACTTAATTTTATCACCTGTAAAATTACGATAATAATAGCAGCAGCAATAAATGGGAATTAAACATAACTTTTCTGTTATGAAGTAAAAGAAACTTCTGAACCTTGGAGAGTCAACTGTAAAGTAACTTCCATTTCTTATTAGGAAAACCTGATGAAGCCCAGGGACTATGAATTTATAAAATAGACGTACAACATCTGTGAAACAACATCTCTCTTTAATAAAGGTGATTCTTGTATGCCCAGTTGGAAGAGGGATTAAGTCGTTTATTAATTTAATGTGAAGGTGTTGCTTTATTAACTAGTCCATCTCTGGCCATATTGTAGAGCAGTTAATCCAATGATAAAATCTAGATTTCAGTGGAAGTCTGGGAGTACCTCCAGCGGTGGCAAAGAAGTGCAACCAGATCACAACCAGACCACTGCACTCATTCTGCTCTAGAAGGAATCCTAAGAAACATGAGAAAATTAAAAGAACTCGTTTTCTCTTTGGCTTGGGCCCTTGTCCCAAGGATCGAGCTTGGTACAGTGAAGTCCAGACATTGTCCAAATACTCTTGAACTTAGGTTCGAGGTGAGCATGATGTTCCAGATGTTTATAACCAAACCAAACCCATTGCTGTCAAGTCGATTGTAACTCATAGTGACTATAGGACAGAGTAGAGTTGGATCATGCTGGTTCTGAGACTCTCTGGTTCTTCACAGAAGCAGAGAACCTCATTTTTCTTCCTCAGAGAGGCTGCTGGGTTTGGGCCGCTGACCTTGAAGTTAGCAAAATAGTACTTTTGCCACTGTGCCACAAAGATTCCTTGCTTATAGCAGGATGCAAGCATTTACTTATGGGTCACAGTTGCTTCTCTGCAAGGTACTGCTAACGTTCAGAGAGAAAAGTGGGCATGAGTCTTTAGGGTTGCCACATCAGAAAACATCCACCTACCATCTAGAATCATGTACTGTGTTAGTTCACAGGACCTTAAGGGAACACTGCTTAGGACCAATTTCCTCAGCTGTTGAGTAAACAGTGAAATAACATAAATTGCTTCTTGCCTTTGTTCCAAAAAGAGTACTGGTATGGACTGAGTGGATGTTTTCTATTGGCTTTGAGAACATTCAGTATCATATAATAGTGGGAAAATGTTATAGTATAGGGTAGTCTTGTGAACACCAACTCATGAGACTTGTGAGTATCTTATTTTGTATACTTTGTGTACTTGAGTCATTGCGAAACAGAACTTCTTGGTGAAGTCTAATGAATAATTGAAAGACTAATCTCTTAGCATAAGGCTAGAATAATTTATTGTCTGTATTTGAAAGTCTAGCTTGTGAGATTTCTAAGTAGCTAAAGAATGGATAGTTCATTGGGTTGAATTGGCAACGGATAGGCAATTTGCAGAGTTTGCTTGCAGATGTCTTTTCCAAATGTGAATTCTGAAGTCAAGGCAGTTACCACTATAGAGTGGCTTGGCAGAGGAAACTGGAGCATCAACAGCAGCTGCTGTGGGGCTGCTGCTGGGTTTGAAGGAGATCCTGCTGTGCTGTTTCTTCTGTCTTGCTTGTTTGGCTTAATTTCCCAAGTGGACATGATGCTCTTTGTGTTCTGGCTTGCCACCTGGAAGCTGTGTAACTCTTTGCAAAGGTTCCATTAGTGTCAAAAGAAAGTAATATGCTTAGTTGATCATTTGAGTCATTTGGCATCTCCCATACCATCTCTGTCCCCTATTCTTAAATCCCCTCTCCAGGCCCACCCCAAGGACCTAAATCATTTAGTGGTCAGACTTGCTGCCAAATGCGCTTGGATTTGACTGAGTTCAGTTCAGCCAGTCAGAATAGTCACAGGGGCTTGGGGGGAGGGAAGAGTGGAAGGGCAGCAGTCTGCTGTTTCCGAAGGGACGTCTGATAGTCAGTTAAAGTGGGGTTATCACATCGCTGAATCCAGCTCCTTGGATACTATTCTAAACAGCCCTGCTTGATGCTAAATCTAATATCTTAGTTGATAGCGAAAGAAAATTACCTTTAGAAAGCCTTATGTATGAGGCAATTTCAGAAATTTCATGAGTGAAAAAATGGAATTAAAAGATAATGGAATTTTCCATGAACTTTTTGAAGCTCCCTCACATGTACTTCTTTTGAAATACAGTTGTTTTAAAGTTTAACTTCATAAATAAATATTGAAAAAGTTTGATCCTTCACCACCAGGCAGTCCATTTTGTACTGTGCCTATGGGGTAAACTTTTGAAGCTATAGTTGCTAGAAATTGCTTATTTTATTGCCAGCCTCAGAGAGTTTCTATCAGATAAGGTATTTAATTTTATGATGCTCCTGAGCAAGTATCCTTCATTGTTCCCATTCTTTATGTGTGTGGCATCAGTACACGGATGCCTGGCATCATATTGAGCAAGAAACTTTGTATTGCTTCAGGGATGATCTATTGAAGAAATGTTCTAATAGACTATAATAATAGTTTATGTCTATTATGATAATGGTTAAATTTATATGTAAAACCTTTAATTAACTAGGGACTTTTTATTAGCGATGGGGAAAATCCTTGAATATATCTAACAAGTATTAAAAATATGTATGAAAGTATGTGAAATGCTATAGACTTGCTATTTACTTGTGAACACAGTTAGCCTTTTTGTTTTGTTTTGTTTGTTTTCCTTCTCAGTTTAAGGGCTTACATTCAGAAGTAGGGGAACATCTCCTCTAACCCTCAAACGAAGAGTCAGATAAACTCAAACAAAGCTTAATTAAAAAGTATAGTCAGAAAGTTCCTTTATACATTTGTTCAACCTATGCTCAAGCTATTCTTGGAAACTTCTTGAACTAGCATTACAACCAAAATGCAAATAACCTTAACTTTTAAAGTAGAATTACCAAGTTTAGGTTGAATTTTGATTATATGTTAGAATTTTTGATGTGTAGATTTGGTAATTTTGAACTTTTTATGGACTGAACTGTGTTTGCCCAAATTAATTATAAGTTCTAGCCCCAGTATCTGTACATAAGATGCTTTGGTGGCACAGTGGTTATAGCATTCTCCTGCTAACAGAAAGGTTGGCAATTTGAGCCCAAGAGCTGCTCAGTGGAAGAAGGATGTGGTAGTGTGCTTCTTTGAAGATTTACAGCCCTGGAAACTCTATAGGGCCTTCATATTCTGCCCTATAAGGTCCCTATGAATCAGAACAGGCTTGAAGAAGGTATGTGATTAAAACAAGATATCTTTAGTTGTGGTCCCACTCTGAAATAGAATGTTCTTCCTTTTAAACGTCTATCAGTATTTCCTGTGCTTTAAGCCAATCCCTTCAGAATATGAAAGGAGACCAGGGATAAAAGTAAGCAGGAATGGGGGAAAGATAAATGCAAAGAGATGTAGATCTCTGGGAAATGCCAAGAGAAATGCATAATAGAGAAATGTGGACAAAGATTTTCCCCCAGAGCTAACATTGCACCAGCATCCTTACCTCTCACTGAGAAAAATCAACTTCTGTTCATTGAACCAAAATCCACTGTCATCATGTGGAGTTTGATTCATAGTGACCCTGCAGGACAGAGTAGGATGACGTTGTGAGTTTTAAGACTGTAAATCTTTACCGGAACAAGATGCCTCATGAAGACATTCAGCAGAGTGACTAGTGGTTTCAAACTGCTGACCTTGTAGTTGCCAGCCCAGCTCTTCACCCTCTGCATACCACCAGAGCTCCTTTCTGTGCTTCAGTTGAATACTTAAGACGTTTCTGTGATTGCAGTGCTAGATGATTTGACAGACCCCACTCTTATGTTCCCCTTTAGAAGACAGGAGATCCTAGTGAAAAAGTAATAATAATTTACATTTCTCCAGTGCTTATTGTGTGCCCAGTACTTCTTATTTCTACCGATAATTTCTTTTCAGAATCCTCTTAGGTATAAGTATTTATAGCTTTGTTGTAAAGTTAACCTAAATTGAAATAAGGGGAATTTAATGAATTTACTTAAGTTCATGTAGGTACAACTGGGATTATTTGAAAGACCTTGGTGTGCAAACTGGATTCAAACTCAGGCTGGCTTACTCTAGAGTCTGCCATGCTAACCTGTTTCTTAAATAGTTTGTAATTTATTTTTTATTTCAGCTTTAGCAAATGCGACATTTTGTCACTGGATAGCAATTTGGTCTTTTTATTATTTCTTAGCTCTGCACCAAATTGATACAGTGTGCCTGTGTTCCATTACCAGTCTTTCTTTCCATTCTGTAGAGCGATTCCTTTAGAGACACCTATGTAGTTCTTCCTGGAAGGAAAAAGGAAATGTCATGAGAAGCACAGTATTACATGGATTTTAGTTGCTTAGTTAATTACTCTACCACCACTCGGGAGTGAAGGTTTGGAGGGAGAATCATGCATCCTTGTATGTAGAATTCTCTTTGGTTTTGGAGTCTGAAGTTTCCTGTAAGGAACTGTATTAATTCTGTGTTGACCATTGTCTTGTCAATTAGCATGTTCCGCCAGGGGATGCATGACTTGAAAGTCTGGCCTAATGTAGAAGCAGATGGATCAGAACCCACAAAAACTCCTGGCAGGACAAGCAGCACTCTCTCAGAAGACCAGATGAGCCGTCTTGCCAAGGTAACTAAGAAATTCCGGAACAGGTGGAAACGCTGGGTGATGTCTGTTGAGAACAGTTATGTGGCATTATGAGTTCAGTCAGGTTTTTTTAAATTAAATTTTAATTTTATGGTAATTTTATCGAAATGTTCACATGCCATGGTATTCATTCCTTTGAATTGTACAGTTTAGTGGTTCCTGGCAGTCAGGGTTGCACAGACATAAGGACTCCATACTTTAGAATGTTTCTTTAAGATGTACGTGTCCTGCCTGCTCCAGATGCTTCTGTTTGGAAGTGAAGTGTGCTTAACCAGTTCTTAGCTAATATAACTTAAATAAATCACTCTCCCATTTTAGGTACTCAGACTCAATTATTACATTTTCTATCAGAATTGTTTTAATGACGTCTTTTTATTTGGAAATATAAAATGTAAACTTAATTTTGTCCTTGAAACAGTGTAACTTTTTTGTGTATACTGTTCCTAAACCACTATGCTCTATACTTTAAAAATCCTTTTATAGTTCTTTTGGTAAAAGATTTTTGATTCTTACATGTGAGTTTCCTTTGTGTTTTTATTGGTAAAGATGACTTAATATCTAGAGTAAGTTTTGATACAAAGTATTTTCAAGCCTATTGTCTTAACCTACATTTCAAAGAAATCTTAATTGTAAAAAATAAATATTTGTATTGGCTAGATTGTGCTTCAGCAAAATATTTTGTTCTCAAATCCATTTAGCTTTGTATCCGCCCCTCTTTTATTTATCATAACTATGTAATTACCAAGAGTGTTAGCCAATACATAACTATCAGCAGCACTCTACCCCTCTCCTCCTTCAATAATAAAACTTTCGTCCTTGGTTGAAATGTATATTCTAACATGGGGTGCAGAAAGTTGTTACGCTTTGAGATGGTCTACCTCTTCTTTAAGAGTTTGCCGTAATGATGAACTTTCACTTAAATTACTCTTTTGTGACTTTTGTAAGCCTTGGATAGCTAATAGAAATTTTGTTAGAATTAGTTCAGTTCCAGTGTATGGCTACCTATAATGTGAAAAAGATGAAATCTCAGGTGCTAATGCACAAGTACTTATTTTTTATAATTAAGATTTTTCTGAAGAAGTATAGAGTGCAGTATATATTGAAGCGAAAACTCAAACATTTTTTTGAGAACAGTGTTATCGTTCATATGATTGATGGAATTTTACATCTTGGCAATGTGACAGGAAATGGGCAAAAAGGCAAGAAACAGCTGTGGGGATTGTAGTCAGTGCCATGAAACAAAATGTATATGAATTGTTGAATGGAAAACTGATTTGATCTGTAAACCATCACCCAATTCACAATAAAGGTATTTTTTTTAACATTTTATTAGGGGCTCATACAACGTTATCCCAATCCATACACACATCAATTGTGTAAAGCGCATTTGTACATTGTTTCTCAAAACATTTTCTCTCCATTTAAGCCCCTGACATTAGGTCCTCATTTTTCCCCTCCCTCCCCGCTCCCCCCTCCCGCATGAGCCCTTGATAGTTTATAAATGGGTATTTTGTCATATCTTGCCCTGTCCAACGTCTCCCTTCACCCACTTTTCGGTTGTCTGTCCCCCAGGGAGGAGGTCACACACAGTTCCATGTAATCGGTTCCCTCTTTCCTACCCATTCTCCCTTTACCCTCCCTGTTTTGCCACTCATACCACTGGTCCTATAGGGCTCATCCGTCCTGGATTCCCTGTATTTTCAGTTCCTATCTGTACCAGTGTACCTCCTCTGGTCTAGCCAGTCTTGCAAGATCGAATTCGAGTCATGGTAGTGGGAGCGGGGAGGAAACCTTTAGGAACTAGAGGAAAGTTGTATTTCTCATCATTGTTACATCGCACCCTGACTGGCTCATCTCCTCCCCGAGACCCCTCTGCAAGGGGATCTCCAGTGGCCTACTAATGGGCTTTGGATCTCCACTCCGCACTCCCCCCATCATTCACTATGGTAGGATTTTTTGTTCTGATGATGCCTTACACCTGATCCCTTCGATACCTCGTGGTTGCATAGGCTGGTGTGCTTCTTCCATGTGGGCTTTGTTGCTTCTGAGCTAGATGGCCGCTTGTTTACCTTCAAGCTTTTAAGACCCCAGACGCTATATCTTTTGATAGCTGGGCACCATCATCTTTCTTCGCCACATTTGCTTATGAACCCATTTGTCTTCAGTGATCCGTTCGACACCCCGTGATCACACAGGTTGATATGTTGTTCCATGTGGGCTTTTTGCTTCTGAGCTAGATGGCCGCTTGTTTACCTTCAAGCTTTTAAGACCCCAGACGCTATATCTTTTGATAGCTGGGCACCATCAGCTTTCTTCACTACATTTGCTTATTCACCCGCTTTGTCTTCAGCGGTTGTGTTGAAAAGGTGAGCATCATAGAATGCCAGTTTATTAGAAGAAAATATTCTTGTGTTGAGGGAGTACAAAGGTATTTTTTTTAAAGAATGGAATATACAGTCATGTAGATGCAGAGTCTGTCTTTCATTGATTAATTTATACTGCCTTCCATTCATGTCTTTCTCTGCTTTTTGCACATTATTTTTGAGAGAACATTCCAACTGTGATGTGTTTTTATAGATAGGAATAAATATGATATAGTCATTGAAATTTGCACTTGGGAGTGTTTAATGGAGTATATATAACTCTATGGCATTTATCCACCCCGCCTCCCCCACCCACCACTTTCAATAGAGTATGCATTTCTCAGTTTCACCTTTTGGATTTTATAGCAGGGGAAAAAAGTAAGAACCATCAACATTTCAATAATTAAGCAGTAACCCCATAACAGTTGTTTATATTTATCTTTAGTGCATGTTATCAACTCCAGAAATGATGACTAAATTCAAGGGGATTTTACAAAGCCTGTGCCTTTGGGCTGAGGCTTCCATGGAGTGGTTATGCCCCTTTGGACATTTATTAGCAGGACTGAAAGAACTTTGCAACATGTCTTGATAACTCTGGTCTGAGCATTTCTCACTGGCATTACAACCTGTTAACTTCCTTAATAAGCCCTGGAATCATGAATTTTGTCTGTGGGTTCTGTGTAGCCATCACAGTGGATATTAGAACCAGAGAGGTAAAGTACGTACCCATTCACTGCCATTGAATTAGTTCTGCCTCATAGCAGCCCTATGGGGCAGACTGGACTGCCTCTGTGGGTTTCCAAGAGTGTTAACTCTGTTAGGGAGTGGAAAGTTAGCTAGAGTCAGTAGAGTCTCTTAATTTTATATAAGAAACACCTTCTACCAGTTGACTCAAGAACTGCCAACAGTTCTCATGTGAACAGTAGACGTAATGCAGTGCGAGGCTGTCGCACGTCAGGAATGGGCACTTGCCACCCATGACTTTGCAATCCACAGGTAAGCAAGTTCACACAAACCACCTGCTGCTCTTTATGGGACATTTACTTGCCTTATGTTTACATTTCATCCATAATATAATGCAAATCATTGAAACATTCTTCCTGTAGAAACTTACTTGAATCACAAGAAAAAAAAGAACAAACCTTTCAAAAGCTTCTACATTTGAGAAGTAGGAAAATGGTGAACCAAAATGCTTACAGAGAAATCTGTTACTTTTATACAAGACAACACACTCCGGGCTGTAAAATTGGAGTTGGGCGTTTCATTTGGCCTGGTTCCCTTCCTGGGCTATTTTTAAGTGTCTGCAATAAACAACAGAATGGACGACAGCTCCTGAAATGATTCAGCTTGTTCAGTGGCACCGCTGGTGTCAGAAACATCTCTTAGTTGTATGCTCTTGTTTGTTTAAATAAAGGGTTCAGCTTCTGTAAGCATGACTTATTTGAATGAAAGCTCGGTTGCTAGCCTTGTTTTGTTTGTTGTCCAGATTTGGAAATATCCAGTGAATTTATTCCCAGTGATGCCCAGGAGTTTCTTTTTTAAACAGTCACGTGGGTTTGCTTACTGTTGTCTACAACTACCGAAACTTTTAGATTTCTCTTGAAACCAGTGGCAACAAGCAAACTAAATTCGTTTTTGTCATTTTAGGATTGAGTCCTAAAAGAGTATTGATTTATGATCTGTAAAGCTATTGTCTGTCTTTAGAGCTATAATTTCTGCCAGAAAAATAGAAAGCGACATGCTTTTAAGAGTACATTAATCTCTGAGAAGTTTAACTGAATGAAACTTTTATGAGGCAGACCCTGTTTTCTTGAATAATAAGATTTAAATGTAAAGTTTGAAAGTAAAGTTGAAAAAAAAAAAAAGAAAGTAAAGTTGAAGAATTGGAGCCTAGACTTCATTAATCAGGAAGAAAGAAGAAACTCCTTTACTAGCTAAGAAATTTGGACTATTTGTTTGATATCTCTTGTATGTATACACACATCTTCTATTTTAATCTCTACGATTCAAGCAAATTATACACCTTCATTTATCTTAAATTATAAATAAATGTACAGCTTGTACTTGCTTTGATTTAGATAAAGACTTATTATGTTTATCAAAGAATTACACTTTTTAATTAAAAATATTTTTAAGGGAGCTATAGGCCGTCATTAGCTGTCTAAAAATGTTACTCTTCAAAAATGATGAGGTGTGCTTCTGTGTTGAGAGGAATGTTAAAGTTCAAAGGGTTACGGTAAGTTGTAGTCCTTGACCTGAGAGTTTCAAGGATCAAGATATAAAGCCGTTGAAGAAGTGCTGCTCAGCAGAATCATGCAGGAAAAAAATAGCTCTGCATTAGAAAATGCCAGTTCTTTTAACTGAGCAGTGTGTAGTTGCTAACTGACAAATCGGTGGTTCATTCCCTCCAGTTACTCTGAGGGAGAAAGGTATGGCAGTCTCCTTGCATAAAGATTACCCAAAAAATCCAACCCAACTCGCTGGCATTGAGTCAATTCTGACATGCAATTACCCTATAACATGGGGCAGAACTGCTCCAGAGGTTTCTAAGACTTTAAACTTAACGGAAGTAGATTGCCCTGTCTTTTCCCCATCAGTAAAGATTACAGCCTTGGAAACCCTATGGGGCACAATGAATTGAAGTCTACTCTAGGGCGATGGATATTCCTGTAGAAGGAGTCACTGGGTGGCACAAATGGTCACACACTCAACCATTAGCCACAACCCACCTGGAGGCATCTTGGAAAGCAGGCCCATAGTTCTTCTATGAAAGGTCTCAGCCTTCAGCCCTTTGGAGCAATTTGATACCTCGAGCGTGGTCATTGTGAGACGGAATGAACTGGACAGCAGCCAGCAACAGCTGATCCTCTAAGCTGCTACAGGAGGGGAATTTAGATCCGTCACATAGGTTTCATTGACTGAGAGTTATACGGTGACTAGAGCTGACATTTTTCAGTGAAAAGGGAAAGGGGATATATATATATAATTTTAGCCATATCCTGCCCCCTCCCCCAGTCCCTAGGAAAACTTGGCTCATATAATTTACATTTTATGGTCATTTTTTCAAAAACTCTCCTTAAAATCTCTTGACATGTAAGGTTTGTTATCTAAAACCCCCCGATTTCCATGGTAAAGGAGTTTTATTAACCATATATTAAAAACACAGCAACATCTAATTTTATGGTTCTGTAGTTGGACTCAGTTGAAAGGCTTTTGCAAGAAATAATTTGAGAGAGAAAAATCATGTTATTACCTGATTTTCATTTCCCTTGGTCAAGTTACATTAATCAGATAACTTCTTCATTATTCTTTGAGGTTTTATTATGAAGGAAATTATTAACTTACAAAATTTAGCTTTATATTTAAAGGCTATGCCTTTGTGGTTTTCTCAACATAGATTTCCAAGTTATTTATTTATAAACTAATTTTAGGTTTTAAATAGTGTTCTTCTCTCCCCATACTACAGAGGCAAAACAGACATAAATAGTGGTAGAATATTGCTCAAATACAAAGGATACTAAAATTACTTGTAACTCCACCACCCAGAGATAATGATTATTAATATTTTATTTTACATGCTTTCAGTAAATATGTAAATAAAGTGTGCATTGTGTATGAATATTTATTTGTTTATTTTGAAGTTGGGATCATACTGTGTGTGCTTAATTGAAATTTGCTTTCACAATCTCGAAGTGGTTCTAGGTCATTTAAGATACTTCTGCAACATGATGTGTAAAGGCTGCAGAGTTTCCATAGTGTAGATAAACCATAATTCGCTGCAACACTCCTCTATCGTTGGTCATTTAAAATGCTTGCAATTTTGTTAGAAATCCAGGATCCACTTTCAATTTTTTATTGCCTTCAAATTAAAAAAGGAAATAGAATTGTTCTTTTGAGTTTTTGTAATGACTGAGCTAATTTGCTTTTATTTTCTATTTAAAGGTTAGACATAGTCAGAAGGTGTCAGGGGGCGTTCTTAAACCAGGAGCAAAGTTTGGGGAACAGCTTTTTTCTCTCACATCTCTAACTAAACAAACTTGTTTATTTCCTGTCAGCCATTATTCATATCACTATTTCATACCTATGTCATAACCAGAATACAAAAAAGAGTGAATGGGAAGAAACTTCTAGGAAATTCCTCGTCATTTCTTAACATATTAAGACAATATAGCATGGCATTTTTAAAAAACATTTTAAAATTGTTTTTTCTTAAATTATGACTGGCCCCCAATTTTTTATTAAAAAAAATCTTTGGTCAATTTTAAAATTCTGATAGTTTATATGCTTTCTGTTTTATATAAGAATGTATTGACTGTAACATTGGCATTGCCATTTTTTATCCATCTTTCTGTCAGGTCTGTGCTTAAATATTCTCCTTTGTATGTGTTGTGCAGCTCACTAAGGCTCATCGACAAGGACACATGGTGAAAGTCGATTGGCTGGACAGGTTGACGTTCAGAGAAATAGAAATGATAAACGAAGTGAGTTGTACTTCATATTTAAAAATACCTTTTGCCAATATCTATCTCAATTTTGGGGGGGAGAATTATTTGCTGCTGGATATCTCACAGATGTGGGGTAGTTGGGCTTAAACTATACTTGTAAATTTAATCCTAGTAAGTGGAAAATTTTGGTTATCTTCCTTTCTTATATCTTAATCTAATGTTGAACCTTGAAATACGCAGTGGATATCCTAACTGTTCAAGTTCAAGGCAATGTTGGACAAGTCTTCCATGAGCACAAAGCTACCTCTTCATTTCAGTTATTTTATTTAGAATCAAGCTTTCCCCAATCCAGGCACTTCTTATGTACTATATACATATAGGAACCCATACCCTTAATAAATGTAAGCGTCAAGTTATTTATTTATTTATTTAGCATGCATATTGGGGAAGAGTCCTAGTTAGTTTAAAGGTAACTTTAATCAAACTAAGAGAGAAGAATATCAATTTTATTTTATACTTAACTTATAATGACTACCACAGGCACTGTCTTGTTTAATCCATATTCTTGGAACAATTTTTAGCAGGTAGAACTCATGCACAGTCAGAAAGTGTTCTGCTTCATAATGATGACCCTCCAGAGCTGATGTCTGGGGGCTTCAGAGGTTGTAAACCTCTATGAGAGCAGATGCTTCATCTTTCTCCTGTGAAGCAGCTTGTGGGTTTGAACTGCTGACCTTGCAGTTAGCAACCTACCTCTGAATCCACAGTGCTTCCAGGATTCTTGAACCGGGGACTCGTATGAAAGTTAGATTTGATCTTTTTTAATGAATGTAATGGCGGTTGGCAAAATTTGTATTTCATGTGAATATTGAATATATTTTGTAGATTGAGGCATACTACATTCTCATTTACTCAAACTAGAAGAAAATGTTTCCCTCAATTTTTGTAATTCCAAAGAAAGTTTAATTAAAATGCCTATTCTTCAATATCGGTAGTCCTAGATAGTAACAAAAGAACCCAGGTGGTGCATGGGTTGAAGTACTTGAATGTCACCAAATCCACCAGCCACACCTTGGGAGGAGAGATGTGACAGACTGCTTCTATAAAGGTTTATACTAAGCCTTGGGAAGACTGCGGGGCTTTCTGCTCTGTTCTGTAGGGTCAGTATCAGTCAGAATTGACTCAGTGGCTGGGGGTTTGGATGATAGAAGCCTAGTGGTGCAGTGTTAAAGTGCTTGTGTACTAACCCATAGGTCGGTGGCTCAAACTCACCAACCACTCCATATGAAAAAGATGTGGCAACCCTGTTTCCCCAAGAATTTCCTTGGAATAGTCTAAAGGGTAGATAAGTGTTAACTTGGATGAAGGGAAAGGCAATAAATCCTACAAGAGGGAAATGGGGAAAAGGGGCAGGGTCATAGGGCAAGCCATGGGAAGGTTTGATAGGAAAAGAGATGGAGGGTAAAAAAAAGAGGAACCTGAATTGGGATGGTTCTACTCTATCCATAAGGGTTAATATGGTGGAACCACTTGTATGACAGTAGGTCAGGACTTTGGTTTGGATAGTAGATTATGTATTGTTATGAATTATTTTGCCCAGATCACCCTACCCCCCCCCAAACCTCCCTCCTCTTTGAGAGATAGAAGTGCATTAATTTTACCACTGTGAACTATACATGCTTTATAATATGCTTCATAAAGCTGAGCAATGTAAGTGACCTCTTCAGACCTTTGGGATTTTATGCATATAGATTTAAAGCTATTAATTTCTATAGTTGGATTAGACATAAGGTTTGAAGGTGAACTGTTCTTTGTTTTAAATTGTTAGAAGTACAAACCATGTTTATGTTTTGAATAACAGTTCACATGCAAATTTATGCAAAGAAAGGGCAAGGCTTTCTACTAAAAAAATTCAAACTGGGTAAGCCAAGAGTGAATTATATGTGAATAGTAGAAACTATTGGCTACTACCATGCTGCTTTGTATTTATAATAATGACATAAAAAGTTATTGTATTTTAAGCTGCACTTCATAGATGTAAAACTGCTTTGAGAAAAAGATATATACTGATCTTTTCAGAGAATATTGGAGGTAATCGTTTTTCATAAAAGTATTCTTTTTTGACAATAAAGGAGGGGGAAATATTCTTTTTTCTTTTTTTAGAGTGAAAAACGGAGTTCTAATTTCATGTACTTGATGGTTGAGTTTCAGTGTGTCAAGAGTGAAGATAAGGAATACGGCATTGTATATTATGAAAAGGTATTTTCCTTGGAACCTTGGTCTCTAAAGTGGAGGGGAGGGGAAACATTAAAAAAAAATTACTGGTGCTCCTGCTGAGATGAATTTGGTTATGGGATAGCAGCAGACAGCTGTCAGCAGCAGCTGTTTATGCATACACAAATCAAATTCTATAGCTACAACAAGATTACAAAAGTCGATCATTCATATAATACAGCTCTAGGTTGCAGAATTCAATAAGTGTGAAACTGATTAAAAACTTTTTGATTAATTGTTTTACACATTGGCAAGTAGAATATGATTGAATTATTGAATTGTATGATATGTGGATTATGTCCCAATAAAATGGTTTTTAAAAGTTGGTAGGTAGAACTCTGAAGTAGTAGTTTTCAACTACTACTAATTTGAAAAATATAAAAAGAATCATGCTTTCAAGGATTAAGCTGCTGACAGTTAAGAGTATGTTGTTTTTCATGTATATACAATATGGTGGAGTTGTATGTGTGCCCGTAGCAAAAACATGTAATTAAGGAAGTCTTGCTACCCTTAAGGTGAGTAAGGACAAGAACCCAGGTAAGGATTGACTTTGGTCTACCCATTTTGTAAAAAGAGTAGTTTCTTGTTTAATCCATGGGCCTTTAAATGTATACTGAAGTGAATTCAATTGTAATACTACAGACGTCATTGTGTGCAAAGTTTGAAAATCACATAAACAGGATGCCTTCAGTATTATGGAAATATTTGAAATATAGATTAGATGTGCTTTTTATTTCTCCATTAAAAGCAACACTTGTACATTATACTTACTAATTAGTGTTACCTGCATGCCTTGGCTCTCTATTGAATTCCCTTGGATCATTGACCAGACGGAGTACATTGGATTACTGCAGCTATCCACCTCGAATTCACTACCACTAATCAGTGCTGACTTATAGCAACCCTCTGGGTCAGAGGTGAGGTGTGCCTGTGGGTTTTTAAGACCATGAATGTTTGCGAGAGTGGATAACCTCCTCTTTCACCTACAGAGTGGCCGGTGGTTTTGAGCTGCTGACCTTGTGATTGCTGGTCCCCCACCCAGTCCACTATACCATTAGGGCTCTTACTACAGATAATAAAACCAAAACCAAACTCGCTGTCATCACGTTCTACCCTTGTAGCACAGGGTAGAACTGCTACCTCTGAGTTTCTGAGACTGCTGTAAGCCTCCTCTTTCTCCTGCACTATAGATATAGTTAGGCTAAAATTTAACATCTTACCATTTATTTTATCATTTTCTCCATTGTTAATTTGTTTGAAATTTTATTCTGCTTACATTTGGATGTGATGTTTTTCTGTGTATTATACTTTTGTTGGAGTTTTATTTGTATAATTCTCTTTATATATGAAATCTAGGATAGATAAATCTGTAGAGACATTAATAGTTTATGAGAGCTATGGCAGCAGAAGTTGTTTGGGAAAATGGAGAGCTAATAAATATGTGTACAATAATGAAGAAATGAAAAATTTTCTAAAATTGATTGTGGTGATAACTGATGGCACAACTTTTAAAATTATATTTTCACCATTGGGGAAACATGAAAATGGACTTGTTAAGTCAAAGTATTGCATTGCTATTTATACTAAAAAACATTACATTTTATTTGTCTCTAAATAAAATCTACTAAGTTTTCTTTAAAGTTTCACATTTTGATATTTTTGTTTAAAGTTTCTCCAATTAAAAAAAAAAGAAAAGCACATAAAATCAAATTCGTCATTGGTTAAGCCCATCACAGGTGATTTTAAAAATGTATTTCAATAACTATTTGACAGATATTTTCATAATGGAGTTTATAATTTGTATAGTTTATTTATTATCATTTTCTAGTACTTTTAAGCATATTCATACTTTTTTCCCTTTAGCTTCTAACTTTGGAGTTTTTTTTAAATTGAAAAATGAGGAAATATAAACTTTATTTTTTACATACCTTTTGGGAGGAAAAGTATATAAATATTTAACAGTTATCATTATAATACATTTTAACAAAATCACATTTTATATATTATACTGTATATAATTTCATTAAAACCAGTATTTCCTGCCTCTATGGGGTTTATATTGCAAAAAATATGCTAATAGAGATAGTACTCTGGAACATTGGAGATATAAAGGATTCTTTGAAAACAGCTTTGGTAATAGATGAAATAACAACACAAAAGAAATTGGAATAATTTCTAGTGTTTTTGAGAAGGTTCTTGACCCCTTTCTACTGCTTTCCTGAAAATTGCTCATAAATTAGTGCCTGTCTACCCACCCTGTCATATTTCCACTTAGTGTAAAGATTGCTGGGCCAGTGTATTGAATCTAATGGAAATAGACTTTCTTGTCACCTGTCTTTTGTGACAGATAGGCTTAGTGAAGATTACTTGTCACAGTTGGGCTGATAAATGTGTTTTCTAGTGTTGTGACTGAGAGCCAGCCTGTTAAACAACAGCTGTGGGAATTTGTGGTTTGCAGTAAGACTCAATTACTAAACCAGAATCACAGTGGTCTCCCCTTCTCCATCTCTCCTTACTTTTGCAAATACCTAAAATTGAAACTATGCTCATTTGAAGTTGCCAGAGAAACAGGATGCTAGACAAACAATTGTAAAGAGATGGATTTTGTCTTTAATGAGTTTAGCCTTTATTACTCTGCGTGCATTTGTCCTGTGGCATTTATTATGCTGATTGCCTTTCTTGCTTGAATTGGATACAAATAAAAGCCAGTATTCTTCAAAAATGGTATTAGCAATAAAATAATACTGCTTCAGTTTGTAAGAATTGATTGATTGCTTCTTGGTATTCAAGTTTGCATCGTGTCCACTAGGTCTCCTTCAGAGGAACAGCGCTTCTGAGTCGAGCTGTGTAAAAATTTTGAGGAGCATTAACTCCATGCTTATTTCTGCCCGTGAAGCTCTGTTTTAATCCCTTGAGACATTATCAACAACTGTTTAGTCGAGTTTGCAAATGATGCAGCACGGCCATCGTGACATATTATAGTGATGCCAGTCTGCTTATTTCCATGCACCTGATTGATATAGTGTCATCAACAGTGGGCTCAAAAGTAGGGATTGTGAAGATGGCCCAGCATTTTGTTGTGCTGTAGTAGGAGGGTCTTTGAGAATCCAAGCTGACTTGATGGTACTTAACAACAAGCAGATACAGAAACTGTACTGCAAATTGTAAAATTTTCTCAAATTATTTCATCGGTAATCATGAGTAAATATGAGTATTTATTTTAAAGTATCATTGAATGATAATTTTTTTAAAGAGGGAAATTTTGGTCATTATTAGGATTGTATATTGATATTGTTTCTTAGCCTTTGTTTCTTCTTCTACCTTCCACTTTTTTGTAATCTAGGACGGTGATGAGTCATCTCCAATTTTAACAAGCTTTGAGATAGTGAAAGTTCCTGATCCTCAGATGTCTATGGTGAGTTATTTATTGTGTGTATTTCTCCTGAGCTATTATGACTGAGCCATAGCATGCGCTCTTCAAAAGAAAAAGTATTTAACTCCCTCAATTATCTGGATGTCATTCATAAGCACTCATCAGCTGTCTGGAATCAGCCAGATGGAATTTGTACAATGAATGATGACATCATGAAAATAAGCTCAGGTTAGTATCCATAAAAGGAGCCCTGGTGACGTCGTGGTTACCTGATAGGCTGCTAACTGTGAAGTCAGCAGTTTGAGACCAGCAGCTGACCTGAGGGAGAAAGATGGGAGTGACAGTCTTGGAAATGCCCAGTGGCAATTCTATCCCATCCTCTGGGGTCCCTGAGTCAACATCGGCTCAGTGCCAGTGAGAGTTTTGAGAATGTGGGTTTCGGAAACCAGTTTACTTGAAGAGTAAGACAAGCCTTATATGTGGTCTTGAAGGCGGGACTTGGAAAAATAACTATTTATCTTAAATAGAAGGGGAATTTATTTGCCATGTTGAGATGCAGTTGTGAACATTTTAGGGAGGTTGATTTTACAATTTTAACTACCAGAACTTTTCCATTATAAACATGATTACTCTGGTAATGATTAGATAGACCTAACTATTAATGAAAATTCGAGCTAAAAGCTCTCTCAAGGAAGCTAGAAAGAAAATTCTTGCTCTGTGCAAATAAAGATAATTAGAATTATCATCCTTACAAATGAGGGTGGCTACATTTTGTTTCACTACTTTGGACACATTATTTGAGGAATACCAATGCCAGGCAGGAAGAGATCATCATACTTGGTAATGTAGAGATGATTGAAAAAGATGACTCCTCTCAATAAGTTGGTTTGATACTGTGACTGCAGCAGTCGGCTCAGACATATCAGAATTGTGAGGATGGTTCCGGACCAGGCAGTGCTTCATTTTGTTCTTCTTGGGATGTCTGAGTCAAAACTGACTGTGGCACTTAATACCAATAATTATAGCTTTAGTATTGTGCATGCTATAATTAAAATAATAGCAAGAACAAGAACACACTAGGGACACTATTAAAATATTTTTATTTCTAAAGGAAAGCAGGCAAGCCCCCAAATGAAAAAAGTAAAAAAACCAAAAACCACCAAAATCAAATAATTCCTGTGTTCAAAATTCAGGTTAAATTGTAGACATTGGTTTTCTATGAAATGAAGGATATATTTCAGCAAGGGAATTGAACTGCTACATGATAGTAGCAGACAATAAAACAGGTTATAAAAGCCCTATGATTAATACAGTATAGTATCAGCACATATATATAAACAAGTAGACAAGTAGAACAGAAGAGAAATCCAGAAATGGGTTCACTATGGTGGAGAGTGGAAAGGTGGCATTCCGTCACTGGGACAGTAAGGAGACAACTGGTTAGCCATTTGGAAAAGATAAAATTCGGTCCACACATGACACCTTATATAAGAATAAAATCCAAACGGATCGGTAAGCCATCGCAGTATTTTATTGTCAATTGAAGGAAATTGGGAATTTTCAGTGCTTCAAAATCCAGAGGCAGCAAATGACAATGCTGATGATAAATTTAACAACATTAAGAAAGTACAATATTGAACTATGGAATAATATAACTGTACTAGCTCTCAATAAAATAGTTTTGAAAACTAAGTAGCCGGAGCATAGTGTGGTAATGAAGCTTAAATTTTCCAGAAAAATGGAAAATTTGCATGACAAAAACACTATAAACAAAGTCAAAAGACAGTTGAGAAACTTGAAGAGCATATTCATTACATACAACACGTACAAAGGGTTGATACATCTAATATTCAATGAACTGTTAAAAATGGAGACACAAAGGACCTGAAAGCTAATTGAAACAAGAAAAAAATGAACAGAAAATTCACATACACACAGTAACATACACAATACAGAAAAGCCCTTAAGCCTTTGGTTAGTTGTTCAGCTTTAATAATTTTGTCCACAAGCGAAGTAGTCAACAACTAGGTGTGTATATTCAAGCCTCATGATCACTGTCACTTTCTGTAGTGATTGGTGTTTTAGTTAAGTGCTCAGATGACAGTGTAGTTGACCTTGGCTCAGCACAGGTTTTCACTGTACAGGTCCACCTGTGGATTTATTTTAAAGCACCCAGTGAGGTCAATCATTTCCATGAGAGCAGTTTGCCTCCCCAGTACATTATGCTATCTATGTAAAAGGAGATCTGTCTCACTTCTTGTGTTTTTAATTATGTTTAGTGAATGACTGTAAACTAGGGCTTCCCAAAGTGGGCAGTATCACATCACCTGGATAGGGTGCTGGAATCGATGTGGGCTTGGGAACTGTAAACGTTTCATTACTAGGAAAGTGCTATGTAATTTTTTTCTCCCTGAGAAAGAGAGTGGTATTCCAAATGTGTTTGGGTTTTTATGCCGTAAACCTTAAAAATAACACAACTTAACCTATCTGAAGTGCTCGCCACTAGTGAAGCTGGAAGTGGTCGAGAGAAGCAGACAAAAGATCATGACATTATAGAAAAATGTCAATTGCTTGATATGTACCATAAATTGAAGTTTGCAGTTACCTGCCATTTCAAAATAATGCATCCATCGGAAAGACAATATTAACAAAGAAAAGGAAATTGGTGAAATGGTCGCTTTAGTTACTGTAGGAAGCATGCTGCAGTTTTTCCTAATATACCTTTTCATCATTGAAAACTCAGCTGTTATGTGGGTGTAGTGTATAATATGAAGGACATCAAAATATTGGTTGACAAGTGGAATTAAAGATAACAGAATTTTCCCAGGGACTTTTTGAAGCCCTTTTGTGCATATAACATACAAAAATGTGTGTTAATTGACTATTTATGTTATACCAGTAAGGCTTACAATAATGTTTTTGTGAGCCAAATGTTGCATGTGAATTTTCGATTCTGTTGGGTGCTGGCACTGCTAAACTTAAGTTAGCTGTTAATAATGTTACCAGACATTGTAGTTCTGTTAATAATGTTACTGTTAATAATGTTACCAGACCTCGTAGTTCAGTGGGTGAAGACATGCTTTCATCTGTGTAGGACGAAGGTGGTATTTGAATGTTAAAGGATGTGAAAAGGATGTGAACAGGCAGAGATTGAGGAGTAGGATGGTTATGTAGCCGGAGCATAGTGTGGTAATGAAGCTTAAATCCTGTGTGACCATCGGGTGTCGATGAGATTAGATATTAGGCATCAAAAACCAAGAACAGAAAATCATATCCATGTGAATGAGGGGGAGAGCAGATTGGAGACCCAAAGCCCACCTGTAGACATCCCTTCATCGAAGCGTCACAACAAAGAGACAAGCCAGTCGGGGTGCAGTGTAGCACCAACAAAACATACATCTTCCCTCTAATTCTTTAATGCTTCCTGCCACCCACTATCATGACCCCAATTCTACCTTTCAAATCCAGCTAGACCAGAGCATGTACACTGGCACAGATAAGAGTGCGTAACACCAGGACAGATAAATCCTTCAGGACCAAGAATGAGGGTAGTGATACCAGGAAGGTAGGAGGAAGGTTGGGGGAGAAAGGGGTAACTGATCACAATGATTTACATATAACCACTCCCCCAGGGGGATGAACAACAGAAAAGTGGGTGTAGGGAGACAGCAGTTGGTGTAAGACACCCAAAAAAATGTATAAATAATCAAGGGTTCCGGAGGGAAGGAGGATAGGGAAGAGGGGGGAAATGAGCTGATACCAAGGGCTTAAGCAGAAACAAAATGTTTTGAAAATGATAATGGCAACATATGTACAAATGTGCTTAACACAATGGATGTATATGTGGATTGTGATAAGAGCAGTAAGAGCCCCCAGTAAAATGATTGAAAACAAAAACATCCTGCTTCCAAGCTAATGAATGGGCTAGTTGGTTGGGAACATCTTGCAGGGGAGCACTGGGAGACAAGGCATTTCTGTCTTCAGGTGCCTTTCCTCCAGTTGAGAAGATGTGTTTTAAAAATACATGGGGCTAAAGTTGTAAAAGTAAAACATTAAACATTATAAATTCGTCTTAATTGTAAATACTTGTTTGCTTTTCGATTTCTGCCTCTTGAGTCTTCATTTTGGTGCTGGGTACATTATTAATAAACATTTTTAAATAATTTATAGGAAAATTTGGTTGAGAGCAAGCATCACAAGCTTGCCCGGAGTTTAAGAAGCGGACCATCTGACCACGATCTCAAACCTAATGCTGCCACGAGAGATCAGCTAAATGTAAGAGAAATTATAATAGTAAACATAAAAGTAATTAAAGGATTTTGATTACAGCTGTTGTGATACACCTGTATTTTGAAAATGACTCAGAAGCACACCTTTTGATGAACCCAAAGTAAGTTCAACAGTTTCACATGGCTGTAGTTTTATCATCATGAGAGGACTTTCAGTAGATGTATTAGCTCCAGAGGTCGAGCTACTGATACAGGTATATCGTTGTGATGTACCCATTATTATTGAGTCTCTTTCAACTCAGAACAGCCCTACAGAAAAGGGTAGACCTACTGCATAGGGTTTCCAAGTCTATGAATCTTTACCAAAGCAGACTGTCACACTGTCACATCCTCCTTCAACTCACTGGTGGGTCCAAACCGCCAACCTCTCATTTGGCAGCCAGGTGCTTAACCCCTGTACTACCAGTGCTGCTTTTCATGACATGGCATTTTAGGTACTCCACCCGAGAAGACTCAAGGGACTCGGTATGTACATTGACGTGACAAGAGAAGCTTTTATTGTTGTGGTTTTTTCTTTTTGATTTTCTGAGCCTTTCTTTTACTGCATTTTGTTTGTGCAACAATTAAATTAACTCTCATACTGAATTTGGCTTTTCACTGTTTTTTCTCTCTTACCTGCTAATAAAACATCCTTTGGGACTGATAAGCTTTATTGGCTGCATGTGCATTCATGCTTATTTAATAGTTCTATTATAGAAATATTTTAAAAATTGAACATTTTTCAGTGAAATGAAAACACATAGGATGTATATATTTGACAGAAAGTAGTTTTTTCTTTCCTTCTTTGTTACAGATTATTGTGAGTTATCCCCCTACCAAACAACTTACATATGAAGAACAAGATCTTGTTTGGAAGTTCAGATATTATCTTACTAATCAAGAAAAAGTAAGTTTATTGAGTGTCTATAACACTTTTCTACAGACTTTGTTGCCATGATCAAGAAGGTAAAATTCACAAAGAGTAAATATAAGAATATAAAATAGAATATAGAATAATTGTCAAGTTAAAGATAGTTCCAAAGAAGCATATATTGTACAGGTAGTGCCTGGTTTACAAATGGAATGTCTTCCTAAGTGTGTCGAACAGAGGTATGTAGTTAGAGGTATGTGGTTCTTGGTTAGCCTAAGTTTAGTACGGTGACTTCAGAGTTAAACCCACAAGTGGAGGTGATTGTGATGGAGAAAGGAGGAGTGGGTCCACTTGTGTCAAAGTGAGGGAAATAACATTAGGGAGCAAGAATCAGTTGTCAACAAGTTGTCTATGGTCAACAACAATTTACAAAGATACAAAGACGCCTGCTATGTGTCTAAAGGATATACACGTGGTTCTCTTATTTGGAAAGGAGTGAAGGTAAGGAAGGTACCTTGGCATTTTATGCTAAAATCTGTCTTCTGGAAAATAAGCTGATTACTTTCATCATTAAATATATCTCATGTGAAAACAGTTTCTCATGATTTACCATGATAATTCACTGTGTGTGTGCACGTTTATGTTTAAATATTAAAATCAGTTCGTATAAGACCAACAAGAGCAAGAAATCTGAACAAAGCATTCACTACAGGAGAAAAACAAATTATTCTTAAAGATATAAGAGACTTTGTCTATTTATATCAATTAATCATTAAACTAATTTGCATTTATTCAAAATACATTGAAATACTACTGTCTTATTTATCAAATTGGCAAAAGTCCTACAGTTCGTAAAGATGCTCTACTTAGGCGCTATGGAAATAGACAGTCATTCAAGGTGGGTCTTGTGAACTTTGGAGCTCACAGGCATTTCCCCAGGTTACAAATGCCTGGCTTACAGACCACAGATACATGCTTTTACATACTGTGTTAATTTGCCCTCAAGCTTGAAAGCATTGAATAAACCGCTACTCGGAACAAAATCTTCACCACAATCTCCTTGACTATATTGTCCAATCAACTTTTAAGTCATTGAAAAGCCTTTGAATCTTCCCTTGCACTACACTGAGCCAATCCCACTACTGTAGAGTTGATTCTGACTCCCTGTTTACCCATAGGACAGAAGAACTGCCCTATAGGGTTTCCAAGGTTGTAAAGCTTTATGGAAACAGGCTGCCTCATCTTGCTGCAGAGCAGCTGGTGGGTTTGAACTCAGATGTTGCTTAGCAGCTGAGAGCTTATCCCGGCGCCTCTGTAGCTGCTTTTTTCCTTATAGTAAAGCTGTGCAAGAACTGGATGTACCTGTTATTAGCTGACCTACAAATTCTTGAAGACACTCAGGCAGGGGTCCTCAAACTTTCTAAACAGGGGGCCAGTTCAGTGTCCCTCAGACCCATTGGAGGGCTGGCCTATAGTTTTAAAAAAACTATGAACAATTCCTGTGTGCACTGCACATATCTTATTTTGAAGTAAAAAACCAAAATGGGCACAAACACCCTGCGGCCCCGGATAAATGGATAAATGTCCTCGGCGGGCCACATGTGGCCCGCGGGTCGTAGGTCCAGGACGGCCTGCTCTTAGGCATAGATCTCATTCTTGGAGCTACCTGTAAGGTGATAAAATGTGCTTCCTTCTGAAAATTTGTTATTTTGTGATGTTATGATTATTGGGGTGTGGAGGTCAAGTTACTTGGCTTAATTTTTATAGCTGTTGTGGCTGAAAACAATACTTTACCAAGCTATGTAGATGCAAATGAAAGAAAATAAGGTAATTTTTGTTGTTTTATTTTTCCTGACTGTTTTTGGCTGTTGTTTTGTAGAGATTTGAAGTTTGTGATTGACAAGTGCTGTTTAAGCAAGCATATCTAAATACCAGCCCACTGTGTGCTATGAGATAAAATTCGCAGTTACAGGTGCTCCTCTATCTGTGGATTATGCATCTTCAGATTCAATCAGCTGTGGATTGAAAACTCTCCGGGTGGGGAGGTTATGTGGAAAAATATCCAAGGGGTCAAAGCCCCAAGAGACTTAAGCAGAACCTTAGAATGGCATTTGTAGAGTGTTTATATTGTGTTAGATCAGACACTGTAAGTAATTTAGAAATGATTTTTAAGGTGGGGGGAGACCATGCTAAGATAATATGCAACTATTTGCCGTTCTCTGTGAGGACTTGAGCATCTATGGGTTTTGATAGTGTCTGGGTTCTTTGAACCGTTCCCCACAGATACTGAGGGACAAATGTATTGGTAAAAATATAAGCTCTCCCACTATTTTACTAATCTATACTTGTTTTATTATCATTACTTTCTCTCAGTTATTTATTTCTAGGACTCTTTTTTTAGTCTTACATCCCTTTGGGGAAGGTTATCTATTAGATAAGGGCAGGCAATATCCTTAAATCCCCTTAATTGGACAGTTGCTAACCCTAGTATGTTGTGGCACACTGTTAATAAACACACAGCCACTTTTCTGTATTGTGAAACACCCTCAGGAGATAAGACTGTGACACATTCCTTGCTGACATTCAGTTCATTTAAAGGAGGGTGATGAATTGCATTTTAAAGTTTAATTAATTATGTTTTAAAATTAAAGACTGAGATAAGATTTTATCTCTGCCGACTATTATAGATCGTTTGGCTTAATACAAACTCCACTTAGTAGACCAGCAGGCTGCTGCTAATTTGGGCAGGAGAGTAATTGTCATAATACTGGCCCAGGTTTTAATGCCCTGGATGCTGGCTGTGGTTACATTTCATTTTGCATTTGTGTAAGATTTTTGAGCAAGGGGAATATTTTTTAAAAATATACGTATATATGACACAAATGTCTGGAGGATGAATGGGTATACATAGGAAAATATCACTTGAATGTTTAACTATAGAGGTAATATAAGCTATCAATAGTAGCAGTAATACTAGGGGATAGACATAATGAAAGGAGAGAGATGGTAGAGGCGCCTTCTTAGGACTATAATGGGCAGTGTGCATAGCTTGGAATTTGAAATATGAGATTGGATATGAGAGAATTGGTTTCAGTTTGGGGGCACTACCTCTTATACTTACTCAGTTGTATTTGGCCTATTATTAACTTTGGGACTCTTGAACTTCTCATTTATCAAATGGACTAAAGTGAGTTAACACCTGGATGGGTCACTAACCTGACAGTGCCTGGTGTAGAGAGTAAATGTTGGTTCTTTTTTATCTTCATTCCTCTCACCTCTCTGATGCTGGGTGACTAAGAAAACGTTGACACTACTACCAAAATTCTGTCTAGATGGAGAATATGAAAAAAGTCACTTGAGACCTGGAAATTGAGTCAATGGTGAAGCCCACAGCTTGGCAGGCAAGACAGATGCTTGATTAGGACGTGGTGAAGCCCACAGCTTGGCAGGCAAGACAGATGCTTGATTAGGACTAGATACCTGCTTTCCCAAAAGAAGCTATGGAGTGGACACCGTCTTTGGAAACATACTCATGGTGAAGTAGACCATGCTAGCTTGGAATCTTATTCCTGCCTCTAATGTACATTTTGACTCTGGACAAATCACGTTGTCTGTCTGCACTTCAATTCCTCTTATTTCATATAATTGGCTAAATGAAATAGAGTTGTACATCTTTCCTAGTTCTTAAAATAGTCTGTGAATTCTTAGAGCGAAGGGCCAATTCTTCAGGTAAAATAATGACGACTAGCATTTACTAAACTGTGACTGTGCACCGGGGATCTTTTCAAGCCACCACAGCCCTATCGGGCAGGTCTTATTTCACAGATGAGGTCACGTGAGGTCTAGTGAGCTACGGAGCCTGTGCTTGTAAAGATTGCCTGTTGATATGCTCACACTACCAAGTTAGAAGAAAATGAGTCAGTAAGAAAAAAATAAGAGGTTCATTGAGAAAATGTTTAGTATGTCATCATGCACTTGCCTTAGCAAGGATTCCTGAATGCATTCCGTGCAGTCCGGAAGCTTCAAGAAAGTTAATGTCAAGAACCTTTTCTAATTGTATTAGAATGAGTGGATAAATGAATAATGTGTTTTAAAATCTTGGGTTGGGATGATTTTTAGTGCCCTCCCCACCGCCTTAAACTTGTTTTTTCTCAACCAATTGTATTCTAGATTCTACAAGAAAGATAAAAATCCAGTTACAGCTCAATTTAACTTTTCAACTTATTCTCATGAACTTTTATTGATGCCTTGGGAAAATGTAGATTAATCATATTCTCTTTTATATCCATAATAAGGCTGAATAGGGATTTTAAATTTACTATAACTTTAAGTGTTATTCTCTTTATCACTGAACAAAAGGAGATAATCATAACAGAAACACAGGTGTATGACTTTGTGTTTCATAAAAAGACTGTGTGTGCATATCGTGATTCTGTGTTAAATGAAGAATAACCTTGGTCACAGAAATTGAATCTTGAATGCAGCACCGTGTCATCTAAAATATACTGGAAGAAATTGAATTAAACCTAGTAAAGTGTAGTGTAGGTTCAAGTAGCACAGAGCTGATTTACAGAGCAGAACTCCGTAGATAGAAAGGCTTGCAAGAAAAATTGTTTGTTTAAACAAGTAGTCACTTCCCACTGAAATCCAATTACTTTTCGACATGTGCAGAAGAAATAAAATGCTCAAGTGATATAAAGTGTGTGACAAGTTTCATTTAACTAGTTGATTTCAAGTTTTGGAAAGGTAGGTGATGAAACTTCAATTCTCAGAACATATTACAGGATTCTTACGATCACTAGAGGAGAGTGAACGATATTTTTTAATGTTCAGGAAGGACTTTTGAGTAAGTCAAATATATATTGGCCTTGAAGTGACCAGAGGAATTATTCACACAGCCACATTTATACCCTTGCAATACTTTAAAATCAGTTTTGTAGAAAACAAAATCCTGTTGTTGTCCCCTCCCCGACGCTTATTTACACAAAGACACTCTTCCTGTGTCAGGGTTTCAGAAACTGGCATTTAGATGGCTT